GGAAATTATTATTTTTATTCCCTTAAAAATAATAATTAAGAAAAAAAAACTTAACTTAACTTAAATTAAACTAAACTAAACTTCTAAAAGACATAAGAAAATTTGTATTTAGCGGGCTACTCTGGAGCATTCATTTTAACCCTGTACAATTTTGTCTATTCTACTGTGTAGACTATTACATGTGGCATAATATTATACTTCCCACTTCGTTGGATTTTACCATATAAGTCATCATAACATTCAAATAAATGAGTATTTCATGAGTTCAGGAGTGCGGAATTGAATGATTTGCAGCCCAAATGCAATAAAGCTTTTGAAAACTTGAAGGTCCAAATTGTAAATTACACGAATCACGAAAATTTAGATGATATTCATACTGAAAATGACATACAACCAAAAATTGAACTACTTCATAACGAAAATGACAAAGATGTTTCTCTACCTTTGATAAACTTCTATGATGACTTAATACAAACTGAAAAATTGTATCTACAGTTAGTTGAACCATCAGATAACAAAAATGAATATTTCTTACCGGAATTGAACAGTACATTAAAACGACTTCTGAAAAAAATTCCACTGTGGGGTTGCGTTATGAACAAACATTTCAAAAATGCCAAACACTATGCATCAAGCTCAAATGTTGAAAATCATTTCAAAGATTTAAAAACTATATACTTTGATACAAAAAACCAACGTGTGAGATTAGACGAGTTTTTAGTACAGCACCATGGTTTTATAAATGGAGCTGTAAAACTTAGTTCCAGTGACGTTTTGCACAGAATAGATCCAAGCAAATGAGCTCAACAAAGTGTGCGAACACAAAGGGCACAAAATAAAAGGCCAAAACCTAACCCCTTGAAGAACGAAAATAACGATTTTGAGGCACAGTCAGTTTTTCAAGTTAACCCGATAAAAATTGAAAATTGGAGAGGGCTAGCCGTATCCACAACCAGAAGTTTAAAACCCAAACCAATTTATATTTTACAAAACGGCAACGTGGCAAATTCTAAAACCGCTGAGAACAGGACTATAATAACAAACACATGTGCTTTCGATTCTGTTTCACAAACGTTTGCGATAGCTTACAAAGATAGACAAATATTTAGAGACTCTGTAGATGCTCAGATTAATAAAGGAGAAGTATTTAGCGGGCTACTCTGGAGCATTCATTTTAACCCTGTACAATTTTGTCTATTCTACTGTGTAGACTATTACATGTGGCATAATATTATACTTCCCACTTCGTTGGATTTTACCATATAAGTCATCATAACATTCAAATAAATTACTATTTTTTCTGTAGCAGTGAGCCCTGTAATGTCCAAAACTATTGGGTTTCGGAGCGGGTTCATATTCTATTGCAGACAGAATTGTGTACTCCTTATTATTTACTTCAATGTTACGAGGCAGATCATCCAACTTGACGCAAACGTCATGAAGTTCATAAATGATAATATCTTTAACATTGTATCTGAAGGATATATTTCCGGCGCAACAAATATTACACTCTGGAGTAAATTCTGTTCTTAAACATGATTCGCAAGCTTCTTGTAGGTGGTTGATACCTTTAGTATTTATTATATCTAAGTTCAACGGCAAATACTTGCAATTGTACAATTTGTTTTCATCTGCATGACTTATGCACATACTATTAGAGCAAACTCTTTGTCTTATAGCAGAAACAAATAAGCTACTTGTACATATTACAACTTGATTTTATTATTTATTACTTTTCTACTTCAGTGTACTCAGGCACAACACGTGTGAACCGGTTAGTAAGTAAAATAAAGAAGATTATCGATATGTATGAATCCGTCGCTTTTTAGTAGTCATTCAAATTTGGTCGGATAACCAGCCGTTGTTTACTTAATTTGGTTTTTTGTTCATATTTACTTAATGCGAAACATTCCAAGCTTAATATTTTCACCACATATTTTTGATTAAAGGCACATGATTTTGGTTTACACCTACACATCTGGGATTTAGCCATTTCCTTGTATTTTGCCGTCAAAGTTATGACACCATCGTCTTGACTTGTAGCAAGATTATTCAAAAACGCATGCATGAAGCGTTTTGAAACTTTGTATGGTTATTACTAGCATCAAGAAGGACCGAATACAGTTTTCAGCGAACTTATACCTTGTCTCATTTAGGCGCTGCGATGTTTTTTCGGATTTTCATAAAACCGCGGTAACTTGAAAACTATAAATATTTCCTTAAATCTAATTGGAGCACACAGGGGCACACATTAAGAGCTACTCGTGTATGTTTATTCTACAGGGGCACATGCAATGGTTTTAGAGATATACGATTCATCAAAACGTTACTCCAGCAGGAAACGCAATATCCCGAAAATCTGAAGGGGCACAGATTTTATTTTTGGGGGCACATAGTGGCACACATATAAGCTCTCTGGCCAGGCACATTTTTTCTCTCTCCGATCACTCGTTTAGAATTTTCCTGCTAGAAAAACGTTACCCCAGCAAGAATCATTTTTCCGTTTTTTTTTCAAAACGACAGGGGGCACACATTTTTTAAGTGGGGGCACATTTACAGCAGATAAGGCACCAACTATACGTTCTACTCATATATCTCTAGGAGATACTTTCTTGTTGGGGTAACGCACAC